CTTTACCAATCTCCCTTGGTAAATTCACACTAAGAGAAAGATGTTCCTTTCAAAGAGAGAGATCCTACTTCTTGAAAGGCACAATACATCTTGGACCTTGGTAAGCATCCTTTAGTACATCTGTACAATGTGTGCAGCCACCATCTCCAGGGCACAGCCCTGCTATCAGATATGCCTCTGTGCCCACTTATTAGAGCAAAAGAAAACACTAATCATCCCTCCACTCCCTTCCAAAACCTAGGAACTGTGTTACATGGCCCAGGGAATAGGAGATGGCTGGCTGTGTTTTCTCCCCATGTTGCTGCATTGCACCATGTTAGATATGATGTATTTAAGGATTTGGGTTTTTGAGGAAAAAGTGAAGATCAGTCATCTGCAAAATACTATTTTGGTGATAACAGGAACTACTATGTATGGGGTGAGTGTGTATGCATATACATATGCTTCAAAAATTCACCTCAGAGTTCAGAAAGAGATTCATGTCCCTTTCCTTCATGTCACAGCTAAACATTTTATAAATTCTCATCAAAGCAGCCACAAGTTAAATGCACTAGCACAAAGCCAAGAGGCTGAAATGCAGATGTTGTGCATTAATGCATTTATGCACTTTGTAGAACATTTTGCTGCCAGTGGTAGCATTCTTATTTAATAATTTGACTGCCCAGCAAACTCTGATACCAGGCAAATAAAAATCACCGTTTGCCTTATTCAGCTCTTATTCTGCTTCAGTGTCCTGTCTTTAGAGATCAAAAAGGTCTGTTTAAGAGCTTCTGAGCACCATCTGGTGGGTGGCTTCACATACTGCAATGTGTATTACCCCACACAGAAGGGCAAAGGAGGTGGTCTCTCGTACCTTCAGGAGGTCAAAGTACTTGGCAGCAAAGCAGACCTCAGTTCAGTGAGGACCCTCAGACTGAAACTCTGGGGCATCACATGGATAAAATGCTGTAATACCTTAAATTGCTTGTAAATACGGAGCATATTTACTGAATTGAATATACTAGTAGAACAGTCTTATGTTCATTTTGCTAGGAAATTTGATTTTGCAGTGTCCTCTATATTTTCAGTGTGAATTCAGTGCAGGTTTTTATATTCCCAAGGCAGATGTGCAGTGTAGCATTTATTTGAGGGGGCGGGGGGATGAGCTTTTGGGGAGGCAAAGTTTGTTGGTAGCACAGAACACATGGAGGGGAGCTATGAAGTGTAGGGTAAGCTCACCCACATTTTCAAACAGTTTCAAGTGTTGACAGCTTTGCCTTTCTAAGAGGTTGCTATCTATCACTGTTAGGCTTCGGAAGTAACAGCTTGTTGTGGTAAATGGGCCATCTAACTGCTCAAAGCTCAGACTCAGGAGGACAACACTGAATCCGATTCAGTTGTTGTCACACTTTTTAGCTGGCTGTGTTGAGCCATTCGTGACATCAAGTATTATCAATTGGGTAATTATCTGGTCCCTGTTAGCTTGTTATCAAAGCACCTCACAGTATCTAGCATTATAAAATAGCAATAGTTGACAAAATATTATGTTTAAAGCATGTGTTCAACTTGTACAGTAAAAAATGGTGGAAAGGAACTCTTTAAATGAGTTTCCTAGAGTATCTGTACCTAAAACCTCAACAGAAGACTTACATTCATTTAGGCAGGAAATTTCCTTTTGCCTTGTGTGACTACTCATAAGTGATTACAGATCTTAACTTCCCCATATTAAGGGTCAAACAGCAAGACAAATCGCAAAAAAACATCAACTGACAAGTAATTTGGATCAATTTTCAGCCATTCTGCCAACAGAAAAAGAGGTGAAAGTCTATTAAACAATTAAGTCACTTTGTAAATGATCATTGTTCATCTCTAATGGAAATGTAAAGGAAAACCAGAGAGAGATGGATTAAAATATGGGCAAATAAAGCTTTAGATTTTTTTTTCCCCACTGCAAGGAAATGTTTCTTTTTACTTAACAGCCCACTCTCAGTATTATCCAGACAACAATTAAGGAATTTAGTCTGCTTGGGAAGCAGCAAAATGACAGGATTAGCTCTTCTAGTGGGAAGCAATGTGAAACTCATAAACCTCAGATTAGGTCTGCCACTAGAGGGAGACAAAAGACCATACTCTCTTAGTGCAGTCTGTGGTTACTTTCTGGGGGTGCTCCTTTTGCTAAATGACTAATGGAAATTATTCTGGCCATAGGTAACTATGGATTCTTTTTCTGTTTTCTACTGCAAATTCCGAAGTAACAAGCCTGTGCAATGTATAGTACAGTATATGAACTGCTCTGGATAAATCAAAATCATAATAAAATGCTGAAAAAAGCTGGTGTGTCCTCTCTTAGCATGCAAAGAATTGGCTTTCAGGAGAAAGCAAAGACAAAATATGAAGACTGAACTAAAGCTGAGAAGACCACAGAAAGGCAGTTTCCACCAGTTCAAGTGGAAGGCACCCCTCCTTTGTTAGTTACCATAGAAGTACTGATTCCCACAATAATAATCCTGGTTCAAGTCTAAGCCATGTAAATACGCGAAACATTCAAAAACAACCAACCCGCTCACTCCAGGAGTTATGGGCCGGAAGTATCTTCACTCCAGCATTGAGAAGCAGCATGGGCAAGACAGATGACATTTGTTCATGACTATTTTTGTTGCTCTTCCTTAAATTCCCTCAGTTTATTGATACCCTTCTGGTAGAGGTCCCCAGGGTGTCCCAAATGTCATAATGCCTGGATTGACCTGCAGGCAAATATTTTCTCCCTACTTCTTGATGTGTTGCTATAGTACATATTCAACCCCAAATCATGTTGGATTTATCTCGCCATTGTGCCTGGACCTGACAGCAATAGCAAGCATACTGTGAAAAAGCATACAGGTTGTTCTGGGCACCTATGCTTCTTGCACTTCCATAGTCCTGCTCTGAAGATAATGGAAACCAAGAAAGGGCTTTAGGCAATCATGAAGAGTAGACAACTGCTGCCAATAGAAGTACTGACAGAGAAACTGAGAGAGCAGCTAGCCTGTGGTCACTCTGTGATTGTAAGGTCAGAATTCCTTATTATCAGATTGACCCTGAGACCAGCTTCTCTCACAAGACAATAAGGAAATTGAAGGAACTAAGAAGTTCCCTAATCTGATTGCTCCACTGCTAATGCAATATATACATACACATTTACATGTGTATCCATGTCAATATGTGCTGCTAGTGTCTTGCTTACTTCCTGGCAGGTGTCTCCATGGATGGTACTTTTGACTGCCCTCCATTCTTAAACCTGCCTCCTTTGCTTCATGCTACCTATTGGATCCAATTTACCTCTAGAGATGTCTTATCTCTTTGTAAGCTGAGGCCATAATTGAGATTCACAAAACTGCTGATTATTCTTTTGGACCTGAATCATTGTATAATTTAGGGCTGCCTAATGAACTGGGTATCAGATCATGCCTGCCTTAAACAGCCTCATTTTAATTCAAGTGAAAATTTTACATCTCACTCTGCTCCTACAGGATCCAAAAGAACCCACACTTTCAGACCCTTCACCTTGAGAGTGGGGGACAGGGCTAATGGCAAGAAATAAAGGGAAAAAAATATCAGCGTCCAGGAAAACTTGGTATTGGACTGCAGCATAGTCTGCCTCACTGTTTTAAAATGCAGCTCAGAGAAGCATGTTGAAAAATACCGTAAGAAACAAATATGGGAAGATGAACTAAACAAACAAATGATTCTTTTTCTTCTTTCCTCCTATGAAAAGCACCATGGGATCCCTGGTATTGATCCAGAGCAAGCAAGTCTTTACAAGTGTATTTGGAAGAAGCCCGTGCTATAACCTTCAAGAGATTCAGCTTAACAACTTCAGAAGAACCAAGGCCTAAGGGAGTCAATCTAATGTTGAAATGTATTTGCCTAAACCAAGTCTGGACATTGAAAACTTAATACTTGCACCATGATTTTTTTCTTTTTCTGTACTGAATGACTGTTGCCTGTAGGAGGGCAGACAATAGCTATGTATGGCCTTAATGTTAGTGATGAATAAGATGGGAACTGATAAAAGTATACAAAATAAAGAATTAAATGGAGAATGGAGAACAGGTACAACAATTCATCTTTTCCAATCATGCAAGAACAAGCAGGCAGTCAATAAAAATGAAAGGCCACTAATTTAACTCTGATCAAATGAAACACTTTTGGCACAATATGCGATTAGCCTCTAGTGCTCACTGCTACAAAATAACTCTGGGACTGAGAGCCTAGAAAGATTCAGAAAAGGATTAGACATGTTAGATATTCTGGAACAAGCCAGACTGAAATAGCTTTGATCTTTTGACCTTCAGAACAAGTTGCAAAGCAAGTATTTGTGTGGACAGCTATGGAAATTGCCTAGATCTGCCGTGCTTGAAAATGCAATTCTTGGGGCTATAAACAGCATCTAAAACTGCTATAGGTGTGACCAGACACCCTATTTTTACTTTGTCCAGTCCCACATAAATAGTATTAAATCATATAGATAACTGTACAGAATCATAGAATCACAGAAGTAGAGCTAGTTTGGGCCCTCAGGAGGTCACCTAGTCCAGCCCCCTACTCAAAGCACGATCATCCCTACCTAACTGGGGCTATAAACAGCATCTAAAACTGCTATAGGTGTGACCAGACACCCTATTTTTACTTTGTCCAGTCCCACATAAATAGTATTAAATCATATAGATAACTGTACAGAATCATAGAATCACAGAAGTAGAGCTAGTTTGGGCCCTCAGGAGGTCACCTAGTCCAGCCCCCTACTCAAAGCACGGTCATCCCTACCTAAACCATCCTATACAAGTGTTTGTTTAACCTGTTCTTAAAACTGCACAATAAAACCATCCAGAGTGACAATAGTTAAGGATTAATAATCTATACCAGAATTTTCTAGTGTAATAAGAACTCATGCTTTATGGCTTAGGTGACCTCTAGCTGATGGGGACTTGGAAGGAATTATTCCCCTGGGACTTGTAGGGTGTGTCATTGAGGACACTTACGCATGCAGTCCCCTCCGTACCAGCCTGCTCTGCATTCTGCACAGTAGATCCCCTTGATGTAGAAGTCATCTAGCGTTCCACCCCAGGAGCCGTTGTGGCAGGACTTGCAGTTCTCAAAAATGGTGCAACCTGAAAGGAGAGAAGCTTGATTAAATGGACCTAGATGGATTGTATGTGGGAGGAGAAAGTAACTGTTTGCCTCTTCCCCTCCCTCAATAGCTGTAAAAAGGCATGTGACCTTCACAGGACTGGCTGGTTTCCTTCTGGAGGTCTGAGCCAACCCCCCACCCCTGATACATGGGGGAGTTCAAACTCTGGAATCTGGATTAGAGCTTTGTGGTTGGCCTGCAAATCTGTACCTCAACACCCCAGAACTATACTCCCCTTTGGAAGACTGTCATCAGTGCAATTTGGGCCCATCCCTGTTGCAACTGATTCTTGGGTTTTTTTCCAAGCAGGCTCTCCTTTTTCTAGTTTTTACCTTCCCTTTGCCATTTCCTTCTGAAAAAGTCAGAACTCTCCTCTTTCTGGTTTGTACACAACATGTGCAAACTTTCCTGAAAATAAAATTCCTATGTAGAATTTCCCAGTGGGAAATCAGCTATGACTCTGCCTTGTGGAGAGGTTCCAGACTTGCACAGAAAACCCTAGAAATCCTCTCCTCCCTCTGGCAGACAAGGTTCCTTGGGTGAATATGATATCTTTTATTAGACCAACCCAAATAGTTCTAGAATAGTTATTAAGCAAGCTTTTGGGCTCAAAAACCCTTCGTCAGGCTAAGGAAGTTTCAGCAGTAGACCAACACGGCTTCAACCTACACCCCTCTGTGCAGTTTTGTCATCAGGAGGGGTGCTACATGATACTTTAGGCAATGTGTTGGATTCATTAGTTCACTTCAGAGCAGTAAACTTCTTACTCTGGCACAAATGGATTCCTGATGAAGCACAAAAGACTTGGAGACAGGCAGCCAACATGGACATTATGGCACATCATCAGTACCTGTACATGCTGACACTTTGCCACAAATCCTGTGAGAATGCACAAAGGGAATAAGGGATCGAGATATAAACCAACCCACCTGGGTGGATTAAACAAGAGTCGCATTCATTTTCCTCATTCCTGCAGCAGGGAATGGTATAGCCCACTGTTTCCTTCTGTCCTGGACAGACACATTGGATCTGGTCATATTCACAGCACTCCCGGCACATGATATTCCATTCAGCTCCAGGACAGTTTTCATTGATCACTGTGTACTCTGCAAAGAGGAAGCAAGTGAGGGGAAAGAATACATTAAATACAGAGAACTGACCAATTCAGATTCAGTTAGTCAATAAATGGCCAGATCATATATGACATGAGGCTCCGGGCTGCTGCATATGGAATCCCAAACCATACTGTAATGTACCTGATCATCACAAAACACAAATTAGGTTTGAGGGACAAAGGCAATAATAGACAAATTTGCTTTGCCAGGCAAATGAGGCAACCAGCCCAGAGTAAAGGAAATTATTTAAACTGAAAGAATTTTAAAATACGTGTTGGATATTTAAATGCTCCTGTCATTTTCATGTATTACATTGCTATTGACACAAAGTCAAACAGCAGTGTAAGATTCATTTCCTGGTTTGATTCCTAGATTCACTTTACTATAACGGTACTATTATATTTGATTTCACTGCAGGGGAAAGAGGATCTCTCCATTTTTTTTTAAGTTTCATTTCATGAAAACATCTAATATGATGACATTTTAAAAGTCTCATTTTAATTAAAGTAACCTTCAGTTGCGGGATTTAATCTATACTGGCAGTGCCCTTTCAAAAAACCACATTTTGAAACATTGAGGATTGTGACTACAGACTAATACTATAACCACAGATTCCATCTCCCTTCCACCAGCATGCTGTCTAAACTCTACAAATTGAAATCTAATGAGCCCTCAATGCTGTCAGCATGTCTCTGTCTCAGCTGACAGACCTGACGGTTGGTTTTATGGAGCCAGATGATAAGAAGTGAGAGAGCAGACTAGAGAGATGAGATGTGAAAGAGCCATAATGAGAATATTTCTTCCATCCTTTCTTTCTTTTATTTTCTTTCTATTTTTATTTTGGCTATAGAATATTCTTTTTCGCTTTTGCTTTACATTCTGAGTTACAGAGCTGCTTTGTCACTGTGACAAACCAGATGCTTCTATTAAGAAGTAGAATGCCTATCCATGCCTGTGCCTGGCTTCCTTCTCATACAGTTCCTTTTCGATCCAATGTATCTCATAATTTCATTACAAAGTCTGCATTAACTCCCTACTGATGAATCCTCATGCTTGGCTACACTTGAGTCTCCATAGCCTGAAGAAGCCTGGTTCCCAGAAGTTTGTCTTTTTCCTAAATAACAGTTAGCTAGCCCAGCAGAAAGGGACCAGTTTCTCAATTTTCCTCTAGCTGAGAACCAAAATCACCATGGGCTAGATTCACTCTTGGTATAGCTCCATAAAGCTTAACCCCCTTTTTGGTACCTGATGGAAACCCCCTTTTTCTTAACTATTGGAAACACAGTTGTGATTTCATAGTTAAAGCAGAACCTAGTTTTCCATTCTAAGACTGCTTTAGATTACCTTCCCACCATCACAAGAGAGCAGCTTTTGATATTTGGTGAGATGGTTTGTTGTTTTATAGCTTTGCACTCAGTTCTTGCATTAAAATCATAATAGTATTTAGCTCGTGTATTTTCAAGCAATAGATCTCAGAAGGGGATAGTATCATTATCACCTTTCAATATGTCAAAATTGAGGCAGATAGAGGTGAAATGACTTAGTTTAAAGTCCCAGAGCAAAATAATAACAAAGCCAGGAGTGAAAATTAAGTTTTCCCAGAACAGCAGCCTATCAACTTTACCATACTGGCTCCCTTACATTAAGGTACAACCCTGTCTTAATGAAACTGTTTATCTATTAACTATATCTTATTCGGATTCCTAAGCAAATTATTTAACAAGCATAATTATCTGATTAGCAATAACATTCTATTTAAATTGTGATATCTCTGATGCCTTAGAGAGCATCTCATTCCTAGTGGAACCTGTACTTCAAATTTTGGATAAATGTTCAAACTTTTGACTTTTTAAAATCAAGACAAAAAACTCATTCTTTCAAGACTTCCAGAAGTCAATGGTAAAATGGTTGCATCAATTTAGTTTCTGCAAAATGCTAACTTGATGTAAATCAGGTTTTAGTTATTATGAGTGTCCACACACAAATTTATGCAGGTTTAACTAGCTTGATATAAAATCAGACTTATGTTTATATCAGTACAATTATGTATACAGTGTAAATACCCAAGGACCATATTCTATCTACATGACTCATGTACATTTGAATGGGTTTATATGCTGAGTAAGGAAGTGTTAGGGTAATAATAAAAGATTCTGGCTCTTAAAGAATTGTAAAACTTAGATTTGCTTCCCTATATCTATGCTGTTTGTTCACTTCTTGCCCTTTTCTTAGATGAGACAATGAAAATAGACATCCATTTGACTTTTTAGTCAATTGCATTCACTCCCAGGATTTGATACACCGCAGTTTGGAAACAACAAATAGCAAAGGATTTTATCAGTGTCAGAAGTTTTTAAGCTTTTCCTCTAGATATGTTCATCATGGCAACTCTAGCTCTTTCTACATGAAACCATGACAATTGTCCCTCTAATGACTATATAATTAAATTTACTTCAGACAGATGTCTCCTGCCTCTTTGTAACAAAAGGCAAAAGGAGTTTTTTATCTGCACACTTTGAGACCTTTAAAAAACCATGTTTTGTGCTGATCAGGAGCTAGATTGAGCTTGTGAGCTCGGCTGTACGTAAGTGTATTGCCCCAGAAAGACCTCTAGGAAGGAAAAGATATAGCTGCATCCATGCTATCCCCCTGCTTTTAGGAAGAGTGGGAGCATCTACACAAGACACTTTACTCAAGATTAGAGCAAATTACTGTGCAGTAAGCATCTACACATACAGATGCTTACTGCACGGTAATTTGCTCTAATCATGAGTAAATTTGCTACCTGTAAATACAAGTAAACAATGTACTCACAAACAGTTACTGTGCAGTATGGCACATGTAGATGGCTGACCAGGTGCAAGCTTGCTCCTGGTCAGCTGAGCAGCAGTGGGTAGAAAATTGCTTCCTGCTCCTAGGAGCCAGGGTGGGCTCCACCACCGGAGCCCGAGTAGAAAGTAGCAGCCTCAGCATCAGGGAGCTCCCAGAGATCATGGAGTGGGGTCTGGGAATAGGGTAGGGCTTGTTCCCAGCCCATCCCAGCTCAGTGATTGTGATTGCAGAGCTGGGGCTGGGAACAATTGTGGAGAGGGGGCTGGGCACTTCCTGCATGTGGAGAGTTCCCCACCCAGCCTGGAGCTGGCTAAAACCAGCCCTGACTGGGACAGTTCCCGGCCAACCCCAGACTGTTTCAGACAGTCCTCAGCCAGCTCCAGGCTCCATGTGCAAACTTCACCACACAGTCTGGGTCTGGCCAGGAAGTGTCTCAGTATGGGGCATGTCCCAGCCCCATGCCCCAATCAGGCAATCAAGGCACAGAGCTTGGAAAGAGCTGTGGAGGAGGGGATCTGGAATCTGTCCCTCCCCTATAGCTCTTTCCAAGCCCTCTGCCCCCCACTGGGGAGCTGGGGTCAGGAACTCCCTGCTGCCAGGACAGGGGGACATGGTCCCCTCCTGGGCTCTGGTGGCAGAGCAGGCAACTCCCAGGAACAGGGAGCAATCTCCCAGCCCCCACCAGAAGACAGCTGTCTCCTGGCCCCCTACTACCTGCCAGCCCCTGGGCTAGCACCCAGGGGGAGCCTAGAGATCCCCCTGGCTGCTGCAGAGGACTGGTGCAGGGCCAGAAGGGACAGAAGCAGACTGCTGCCAAGAGCAGCAAATCTACTTCTGCATTCCCTGCACATGTAGGTGCCTGCCCTTACAATAAAGTAAGCTCATGCCACAGTATTTGCACAGGTAGACATGCCTAGTAAGTTATTTTATCTCTTTTTTGGCTGCAGTCTACTCCTCCACTCAGACATAGCCATTAGTATACAGTACAGCAAACTGGAAGCTGCACCATCCTACATAATAGCTGTGGTCTGTAGCAGAAGTAGTAACTTGACATTGTTGAAAGAGAAATCCTTCAAAAGAGTGAGCCTGACATGTAGGCAGTCTCTGCATTCTCTGAGAGTGTAGAACATGCCCAGGCAGAGATTTAACATGACTGACAGAGGCCAGTTTGCATGACAACCAAGGCAAAATATTTATCTGAAACATGAAAACAAAGGTTAGACCAAGCAAATAAACAGCGTCTAATTTATAAGAATTTAACAATGGAAGAAAAGGCTATAAAATCCATTAATAACCAGCACATAAGAAAGCAGCTCCAAGTCATGGAAACTGTGAGCAAGATAGAGCAATGTTATGAAGGACTACAAGCTGTAAGAAGAAAGGTGTGGGAGAGAATCTGGTTGGCTTAGAAGCCTGGCAATAAGATGTGGATTTTCTACCTATTGGTTTGACTTCAAGTTGGGTCAGTAGTGAGGTGGGATCCAATTTTTAAGAGTTCCTCAGTCTAGCTTCTCATACTGGCTGCATCCAAATAAGTGTGGACATTTGTTTCCCTGGGGACAAGTAGCAGCAGTACACCTTGTGCCATTGCTTCTTGGCCCCAGGGAATGCCCATGCCATATGCGCTTTTGTGCACAGCAGGTTAACGCAGGTGGGGTAGGGGAGGCTGGAGCCAGCAACTGTGCTGGCCCCAGCAACTTACCTGTAGCCCTGGGGGCTCAGGGATCTGCAGCCCTGGCATTACTGC